GAATCCTGTAAGAAGAGTATAAGAGGGAAAAACATTTCCAAGGGAAAATTTATGTACTGAGAATTAGTTCTTTCTCCTTGCCTTTTTTCCTGTAAAATACAGAAGTAATATAGCTTAACAATGTCAACTGTATTATGCAGAAGTAAACAACTGGTGAAGAAAGAAGCATTGAACTTAAAAATGGCAAAACCAAAGCATCGTCAATGAGTTTCAGGGTTCAATTTAGTTTTATCACGGTCATTCTCACTGCAGCAGGTGGAATTGAAAAAAGACTAAAACACACATACCAAAGCAGACCTTGAAAAGGCATCATCTTCTAGTAGCTTTTAAGGATATTGAGTGATAGAAGGCAGTGTTTGGGAAGTCTTCAGATATCTGAAATGATTTATTAATTCTTTGCACTAATAAATATGATAAAAGCACATTGAATATGATAAGCCAGTATCTAAAAATAAAAGTTTGCTGGAGAGTATTCTGCCCCAGCATGACATTTTTACAAGTGGCTAGATTCCCAGACAAATTGTTAACTAATCAAAATTTCGTATTTTCAATAAATGTAGTATTGAAGCCTCAAGTAATAACTAAACTTATTTACTGGAGGAATCTGATAGAGAAATGTGCTGAAACGTAGGTCAATACCTTTTCTTACACAGTTATGAATTTACTTAAGGCTTGATGCTCTGAGTTAAGGGGTCATAAGATGTTAAAAGTATAGTTGTTGAATCATATTTTTTCCATAAGAAAAACCATATAACTTCATTCTGATATCTTCTTAAAAGCATATGCCAGGACAAATCCATTTCTCCCCATGAAGGTAGTTGATAACTATACTGGGTTGAATGAAGTATGGTTCTATTAATAATACTTAAACATTTAACTTTAAAGATCTATTTGTGTCTGGAGGTAATAGTTGGTAGGACACTTGGCTTGAATAGCCATCCTGGATTAAATCCACAGTAGCCCAAAAGTTGTCCCAAACACTACCAGAAGTGCTCTCTGAGCACATAACCAGGAATAAGCCCTGAGCACTGCAGAGTATATGGTCCAAACCCAAAAACTGAAAAAAAGAAAAAGAAGAAATAGATCTCAACAGTTAAAATTGCTAAAACTCACAAAGACAATATATATCCAATATAGCAATAGCACAGCGGTAGGGCGTTTGCCTTGCACTGCCAGCCTGGCCGAGCCTGGTTTGATTCCTCTGCCTCTCTTGGAGAACCCAGCAAGATACCAAGAGTATCTTGCCTGCACGGCAAAGCCTGGCAAGCTACTCGTGATGTATTTGAGATGTCAAACATAGTAACAACAAGCCTCACAATGAAGACATTACTGGGCCCGCTAGAGCAAATCGATGAACAATGGGAGGACAGTGCTACAGTGCTACATAGTTCAGGAATTTCTAAACTTTTTCCACTGGCAACCACTTTTCAATTGTAAGAATGTTTTTAGGCAACCCATATATATATATGTATATATGTATATATGTATATAAAGTACATATACAAATAAAATATTTATTGATAATATAATCATAAAGAAATTCATCTTAAAGTAAATTTAAAGTGTGGCATTGTGACCCACTGTTTAGGAAGCTAGAGTCTATACAGTCTAGTTCATTACTTTGGTTGTTGAGAGTAATTTTTATGAAAGAATCATAAAAATAGTATTTAATAGTCAAATAATTACATTTGGACCCAAATTAACTTTCTTAATGGTAGTATAGCTAATGACACTGGAAACTTGCAGCAGCTGATTATTGAGTCGCTCTTAGATTATCCTATCAATTTCATTGGAGATATCTTTATTTTCTGGGCATCATTAAATTTTTCTTGATTAGAGGTCTACAGAAATTCCTTTTACTGCAGTGTCTAGCTGACGTGACAGATATCTGAACAGCGTTTCAAAAGTTAATTTTTAGAATATTTTCCACTTGAACCATTTTAATTTTCTGCTAAAATAACCAGTAAAAAGAAACATCAGGCAGACACTGAACATCATCTAGTGCTATCAGTTCAATTCAGATTGTTAAAAAATCAATATGTTGTCACCTGGACCGTCAAATGATTCAAGGAAATAAGTTTAATTCCTTAACTTTCAGGGACACTTTCAAGTCTCACTACTCATGCTTTTCTCCCACTCTCAAACTTCTGTAACAATTCATGTGCGTGTAGATCAGGAAGGAACAAAGTATGTTTCTTCTGCCCTGGAGATCCATGCAGAGAAATCAACAAATGTTAGTCATCTGAAGCCTTCCAGGAAGAGGTACAGAAACGTGTGCCTCTAGTGTCCTCTATCTACTATTATTTTCTCAACCCTTTTTTGAGACGGGAAGATGCCCTAGTCCCAAAGGCATTAGCCTGATACTGTGCAATTCTTCTGTAAGAGTTCCTTTACGGCCACCAGAAATGAGTGATGAGGACTCCATTTCACAGCGCAACCCTCTCTAACCCCATAACGCAAACACAAGAGGTGGGTGAGGAGGGGTCAAAGAATAAGGGAAAGAGGTCCGGTAGAAAGACTCACCGCTCCTCCCTTTCCCTTGGTCAGGCACAACATAATCAGGAGCAGCCACAACCTGAAAAGCGAAGGGAGAATGAGTAACGTGGGCTGGAGAGGCTCCGAGGTCCTGAATCTGTCCATATGCCCCCACCCCCTTTTTTGCTGCCTGTCCCCACTTTCTCTACAATGAAAGAACTACAAATATAGTCCCAGTCCAGTAAAGCAGCCCAAAGTAGAAAAGGGGAGGGAAGTTCGGGGCAACAACAGCTCACCCAGGGTGCATGCTTGCGGCTCCTCGGAAGCTGGCTGGGTCCCAGGAGACTGCTAAGCTGCTCCACAGCCCCGGCTCATCAGGGTCCCGCTGATGCTCTGAAGCTACTTTCTTATTCAGGAGAACGGAGTACTAGGACGGAAAGGCTGACTTCGGAAGAAACTTAACTCAACTCCTAGAAAGGAAGTACCCCTAAGAGGAAAACGCTCAGCGGGGCTCGCTACAACTTGCAGCACTCATAAGATAGTTCCATGCAACAGGAGAGGAAAGAATGGAGGGGAAAGGGGCGGGGCTGTCTGCCGTCAATCATTCCCTCTACCTTGAGCAATGGTCATATTTCCAGACACCTCTGTTCATAACATTCCCACGCATCGTCACGCAAGGCACACATGTCTATACTAAGAGGCAAGTAGTATTTAATTAAGCAACCCTATGCATCATACACTACCATAAACATAGAATAAATTCACATACATGGATTAAGTCACAGGACTCTGACATTTCATAAATGGGCCCTCAAAATACACTTGCACAGTTGCCCTTGCATTACAACTTTCATTCTAATTGATTGTGTATTAAACACTTAATGGAGTTGGGGGGGGGGAGGTTTCTGGAGTGGTAAATTTACCCTTAGCAGAATATTACCTAAGGATTAGCGGGCTCCCCAAAAAAGGTTCCAAAATGTCGAACCTAAGTTCTGAGATCTGAGAAAATAGAAATGATCTGAAGGATGCTTCAGCAATTCCCTGAAAGACCTTCTGAGTGGTCACATAAACTATTTTCTGTGTCTGTTGGTACTTGAATATATACCTATATCTATATATCCAGAGTGTGTGTATATATATATAGAGAGAGAGAGAGAGAGAAAGAGTATGTAACTGGAGGACTGCTGAAAATTCTGGTTTGTGTAGTATTGGAACACAGTGTGCCTGAAACCTAAGAGTATTGTAAATCACTGTGCCTAAATAAAAATTGAAAAAAAGAAAACAAAACAGCGCTCGAGTTCTGGGTTACAAGAAATGGGCTCTCTTTTAATGTTGGCAGTATTTTATCAAGAACGATATTATGCAAATAAACAATAGTCATGAGCAAAAAATAAGTAAATGAACATATCAAAATCTAATTGGAGATACCAATTCCTCTGCCATTAACTCGAAATATCTATTTCTCATTAGGTGTTTCTTGCTAAAGAAAATTACACTAAAGTTAATTAATTTCCAGTTCTGACTTCACCGGAAACACAGCTTTAGTGTGTTTTAATGCCTTTGATATGTTTTCAATGAGAGGTTGAATACTAATTATGGATTTCAATATTGCTAAATTAAAAAGTGCCAGTATTTCAATAGCACTACATCATATAAGAAGTACTGAAATCAGTAGTATGCTCCCAAATATGAAAAATATACGCATTTAGTCTTCATACACAGAAAGGCAGTTCATCTCTTACTTTTTCAGTCACATCATTTAAACGGATAACTATAGTTAAATGATTCTAATATTTTCAAATATGATAACCTGTTGTAGATTAGACCTCTGCCTGGTGACCTTGCACAAAGCAAAAAGAAAATGCCACCAGCTCAGGGAACAGAGATTAAATTTTGTATCTAATCATTAACAATAAAAGCACTGTTTGGTCTAAGAGTCCTCCGCTGAGAAAAGTAGTCCCAGCCCAGGTCTAGGGGTAAATGACTTTAGGGTTCACAACAGTGCGAGTGGGGCCGGGCAGGGGAGAGCACGCTCCACGGAAGGTGCACGCGAAGTGCCAGTAAAATCTTCCCGCTGGAGTGCCTGGTGGGCAGTCGAGTGTTCTGGAAGTTTCCCTCCCCTGAATAACTGAGCGTCACTCCCTCGCAGGTTGTCGGCGCACTCTAAAATGGTGGCGGAGGGATCCTGCACTTCCCGGGGGCGCAGGGAGGGGGTGGGTGCGCGGGATGCGAGGCAGGAAAGTAGATCTGCGGGACTGGACTGAAGCAAAAGTTTGCCAGTCAGCACAAAAGAGAAAAGTGACCTTGAGAAACCGGCTCGTGGAAGCAGAGGAGGGAGGGAAGAGTATCTCTCGCTTTCCTCTCCTCTGACAAAGTTTCTTTCTCCACGCCCTCGCCGGCCGGCACCACCCGGTCACCCCCGCGGCGTTGGGTTCTAGCCGGCTGTCGGCGCTTCAGATTCTGTCAGTTGGTGCGAAGGGGGCAGAGGTTGGCCGCGGGCGCCTAGGAGCCGCTGGAGCCGAAGAATGAAACGGCGCGGAGTCCGCCTGGCCGCGGGCTTCTTCCTCCTGGCCCTGAGCCTTTGGGGGCAGCCGGTAGAGGCTGCGGTAAGTAATTCCCTTTCCCCGCCGCCCTCTCACGCCCCAAAGGTTTTCGGTGGGGGAGGGGGTTGACCAGACTGTCGCCGCTCGGTGTTTTCTTATAATTCCGGTTTCCCTTGGCTCGCTTGAGGGAGCGGTAACGGGGTACACCGGCCGTAACTCAGGCGCCCCCAGCACCTCCCCCCACCCCGAAGTCAAAGCCTGAGGTTCAAGGGTTTAAAAATAGGGCAGCCTGGCGGGCGGCGCCGGGGGCTGCCGTGGAGGTTGGGGACAGCGGAGCCTCGGCTCGCTAGATTCAGGTGGCCCTTGAAAGCGTTCCCTCCCCACTCTCCGCCCTAGGCGTTGCCCGGCCCGCGCGGGCTCCCCTTTTCACCGGCGTAACCCACCCTCCTGTTCTCCAGACTGCGGCGCTCAGTTACTGTTAGGGTTTCTTTAAAGCTTCGCTGCTTTGTGGGAATGTTCAGTGCGCCTGTGAAGTTCTTCCTTTTGGCCCCTTGCTTTAACCCCCTAGGCGGTGCTGAGCCCAGGCCATTCTAAAAAGTTTTTGTAAACACAAAAGCACAGCTGACTGACGAGGACAGGTGAGGGGAAGGCAGTGGGGTCAAGCCTCCCGTCTTCTGCACGCCCCTCCTTTTTTTTTATAAAAGAAAAACAAAAGGGTTCTGGGGATTTGCTGCTTGTCCACTCAAAAATCAACAAACCCCAAAACTTACCGAAGTACCTGAATAAACTGAAAATTTGTTCATCCCCTATGTAGAGGAAATTTATTTTTCTAAGGAGGTTTGATTATGCAGTTTCAAAGGAGAATGGAAGAATATGTACATGTGAAGTAACAGCAAAAAATTCCACTTAGTTTCAGGAATGTAGGATCACAGCCCTATCAATATATTTTCTAGTAGGATATCAGTGTAGGTCCACCTTCTTTATGGGGGAGAGAGGCAGAAGTAAAAGAATGGCTGGTTTTGTCAGAGCAAACCAAGTCCACTCGGGTTTTTAACTTCTGAAAACTTAAATTCATGGAAAATTATTTAAGTTATATTTGAGTGATCATAACAGGTGGTTTTAAAAACACTTTTTAAAGTATTTTCAGTCACACCCAGCTATACGCAGGGCTTACTGAGGTCTCTGATATCAGGAATCATTCCTGGTGGGGCTGGAGGACATTATGGTGTATCAGTGATCAAACCTGGTGGGGCTTGTGTAAGACAAGTGCCTTACCCTCTGTACTGTCCCTCAGGCCCTTAAAAACACTTCTAGTATGGGATCAAGTCTTTGGGCCTTTCATGTGAAGGTTGAGAATAGCTATTGTGCTGTAGTTTATCTGGGTTCAATTTTAAGTATGTTATCTTTTTTTCTCAATACTTTTATTACATATCAAGTGAAATTAAATTTCTTCATAATCAAAATACCAGAACTTTCTATTCCTTTAAGTGCATTATAATTGCCAGAGCAAATCTGATAAGCAAATAAGCATATAAAACACACACATTATATTTATATAGTTATATATAACTATTATTATATATGTGGCTGGAGTGATAGCACAACGAGTTGGGCGTTTGCCTTGCACGCGGCCGACCCAGGTTCGATTCCTCCATCCCTCCTAGAGAGCTGCTAGCTACTGAGAGTATCCCGCCTGCATGGCAAAGCCTGGCAAGCTCCCCGTGGTGTATTCAATATGCCAAAAACAGTAACAAGTCCCACAATGGAGTCGTATATAGTGGAGGGCTGCAGGACAGAGAACCCTGTTTCTATCATATGCAAAGCTAGACCTCTATCATTGACCTACCACTCGGATCTTAAAATACTTTGAATTATACATGCCACAATTGTTTTTCTATTAAAAGTAGATAGACAAGTTTAAGGAAATGGGGGGTGTGGTTAGCTGGAGAGAGTACAACAGGCAGGTAGGGGGCTTATTCTGCCACAGCTGACCTGCATTCCACCCAAGCACCAGCAGATTTCTGAGCACAACACCAAGAGTAAACCCTCAGTATAGTGGGGTTTCCCCCCCCCCAAAAAAAAGAACCCATAAAAAATTTAAAAAATTGGGGGGCACAGGGAAGATGGCTTAATTGTGTGTAGCACATGCTGTGCATGTGAAAGTCCTGGGTTCAATCTCCAGTACCATATTATACCCTTTGTACCACGAGGAGAGGCCCTCAAGCACTGTACCAGTAGGAGCCCCTGAGCACCACTGGTAGTGGCCCCCAAATCAAATTCTTATTTGATGCAGAATATCTTTTGAAATTTAATAGGCTCATTGGGTTACTGGAATGGGATAAACTCCAATTGTGTTCTTGTTAACAATTTTTAAACATCTTGGTATGATTTACGGCATTTGTCTCGGGAGGAAATATTTCTTCACTGATAAAATATTTTTGCTGTTATCAATAAATGTGCATCTTATACCGTTAAACAGGCACATGCAATAATTCTTTTTTATGTAGGAGTACTGCTATTTATTCGGCCACTGATTAGGCTGATTGAATTGTGCATGAACTCCACACATACAGTAATTCTTTTAGTTGTTATTTTGGGTTCACATCTGGCTCTGTGCTCGGGGATCACTTCTGGCAGTGCTCAGGGGACTATCCAGTGTGCCAAAGCTCTAACCTGGGTCAACTGCATGCAAGGCAATGCCCTACCTGCTTTATAATGTCTTCGACCCGATTGCTGTTTTTTTTGTGTGGGGGGGAGCGCGGGAGGCATACCCAGCTGTGCTCAGAGGTGCCTCCTGTTACAGTGCTTGGGAATTACTCCTGATGGGATAGTATGGTGTTCTGGCTATTGAATCCTGTCCTCTGGACTATAAAATGTGCACACTAGCCCTTTGGGCTGTCTTCCTGGACCATGAAAGCAAAATTATTATTTGTTTTGATTTGGAGGCCATACCCAGTCGCGTTCAAAGCTTACTCTTGACTCTCTGCTCAGGGATTACCCTGGTAAGGCAAATGTCTTACCAGGACTATCTATCTGGCCTTGAAACAATTTTTAAAGATTTTTTGAATGAGGGCGATCTGGCTGCAACATCTGTCACCCCATTGATCGCCAGGGTTGATTCCGCTGATCTGGCTGGCTAGGCGGGTGTCCCCTTCCTCCCTCACCGCTCCATGTGTATCCCTCCGGAAGCTCCATGTGAGTCCCTCCTGAAGCTGCGCGCTCAGTTGAAGAGGACGGCCTTCCCCGAATAGAGACTGACCGGGTCGAGGGTATACGAGTAGCTGCGCTCCCCTGCTAGAACCTCCAAACAAGCCTTACATTTAGTTTCATGAATTAATACGGGCCATGATCCACAGTTACAAACACTAGGATCAGTATTTATTTGGTTTTCAGATTAATCACTGTCACTTTCACTGTCGTCCTGTTGTTCATCGATTAACTTGAGTGCGCCCAGTAACGTTTCCATTGTGAGACTTGTTACTGTGGCATATTGAATACATCACGGGTAGCTTGCTAGGCTTTGCTGTGCGGGCAAGATACTCTCAGTATTCATTTGGTATACATAGTGATAGAGTAATGCATATTTAGATCTTTACTTTTTTTGATTGTGGCAACACATGAGGTACAAAGGAAATGAAAGCGGTAGTTATATTTCGTAATGAAGCTAGGAGAAATAGCATAGAGAAATAGAAGCAGCTTTGGTCCTAAAATAAAAAGATAAGTTTGAAGTCTTCATGTGTATTTATATATAGTTTAAAAGCAATTTAAAACAATTTCATGCTGCATATAGAATGGGCTGTAGGGATAGCACAGCAGGTAGGGTGTTCGCCTTGGGGTATCGGATCGGAGTTGCAGCATGAAAGTCATTCAACTTTTATGTTTAAAGCAATGTAAGGTATACTTATATTTTATATTTATATTACATATATTTCACTTTCATTTTATTCTCTCCAGAGTCACCATATCTATTTTTTAGAAAATCAGATTGTAACCACACATCATAAGAGGTCCTACCTCTATTTTCTATCACCCCATATGTTATTTTCTCCTTATGTTTTTTTCACTGGCTAAATGATTTTACTGCCTTTATACAGCCTTGTAACTTGTTCAGTCCAAATGTATTCTTCTGTAGAATCTCGAACTGTTAAATATTAAGGTTTTTCCAGGTGGTATTTGAATAGCAGAACTTGAGACTTCTGAACGATTGGGATCTACTTTTGCCAAAGTACTTTTCAAAATGGTTTTACCATCTACAGTCCTATCAGTAATGTGCATGAGTACCTATGATACAGTATTAACTTTTTATATTTAATATAGTGCATATGGAATCAGTGCTCAATTGATTACCAGTTGGTAGATTGATTTGGCTCTATTTTCTAATAATTTTTATTTTAATAAGGAGTCATTCCATCATCTAAATCAGCTCTGACAATAGCTATAAAACAAGTTATTTTGAAAATATGTCATTTCTAATTAACATTATTAATGAATAATTTAGCTACTTAGCTAAATCTTCATATTGAAGTTTTGGTTTAAATAGCAATAGTTCTTGAGTTTTTTTGAGAGGCACCTTTAACGTCATATCAAATAGGCTCCTTTCATTTTAGCAAACCAGATTCTCATTTTATGAATCAATTCTTGAGTTTATTTTTATAGTTTTATCAGGTCCAGCTGCCCTTTGTTCCTTTAGTAATTTTTACTGGCTTTTAGCCAAAACTGTAGTCTGTAGTGGTACCTGCTGCCCTGTTGAATTGGAAACCTTAGACTTCTTGCCATTTGCTAATTAAAGACAACTGAAGGAAAGTGTAGAAAGCAAGAGGCTTTTGCTAAATTTAATTATTGATTTGACATACTGATTCTGATGTAAATATTACCTTTATTTATTATATTGTAGAGATATTTAAGCACCATTTATAGCCAAGTGCTAGTCAGTTAATGGAACTAGAGTAAGACTAAGAAATTTGGTTGGCATTTGTATCATCTTATATTTCAGACAGATAGCACTCTTGTATATATTAGAGATAGCGTCTTCACTTTCAAAATTTGTTACAAATATGATATTA